AGGGAAAAAAATGTACAGCAGGGAACTCTTACTCTTGTGATTTTAATATTACTCTTTGTGATTTTAATATTCTGTGGTATTCTACTCTGCCCCTGTGAGGTATGGTAACATCACATCTCACCCCAGACTTGTTAATAACTACATACCTCTCATGTTTGCTGATAGCTCAGCTCTCTGCTCATATTGCTCGTGTTTTAAACATAAGATAGTTTATGGATTCTTCTTTTTTTTTTATTACAATTAATCTGAGTATGAACAACATTATAGAAAAACTGATAGTTTTCTATTGCAAATCAATTGTATACCAGCACATATGTATTTGTAGAATGAAACCTGTTCATAAGCTGATGATTGCTAATAATATTCCTTTATTGCTGCTTTTTGTGATTATTTCATTGGCCAGTTTCCAAAAAGTATTATCAGAAGGCTGAGTTTGTATTGTTATTTAGCATACATGTGAAATAGTAGGCCTGTTGCCTTTTTGGTGGGCGTGGCGGGGGGTTGTTTTGGTGTTGGTGATGCTAGGCATAGACCCCTAGGCCTATTACTTCTGACCTTTCTACCAAAGAAAAAAGTTATGTACAAAAGTTATTATGAACTAAAATGTTTTAAAAAATTTACTTTTCCTGGTGTATTTCCCCCCCCCACCCTGCACACATTTTTTATTGGTACATTATAGTAATACATAATGGTGGAATTTATTGTTACATATTTGTACATGCATACAATATAGTTTGGCCAGTATCACTTCCCAGTATGCCTCCCTTCCTCTCCTTCCTTCCATATTTTCAGAACAGTTTTTTGTTTTGTTTTTGCGGTGTTGAAAATTTAACCGGTTTTTGTTTTGTTTTTTATACATGGAATTGAACCCAGCGGCATCTAACCACTGAGCCACATCCCTACCGCCCCCCTACCCCTCTTTTTGTAGTTTATTTAGAGACAGGGTTTCACTGAGTTGCTTAGGGCCTCCCTAAATTGCTGAGGCTGACTTTGAACTAGAGATCCTCCTGTCTCAGCTTCTGAGCCACAGGGATTATAGCATGTGCCACTATGCCTGGCCTGAACCTAGCTTTCCACGTGTGTGCCTCCTGCCCCGAGCAAAAAAGAAAGAAAGAAAAAAATAATTAAGATGTCTCACTAAGAGATAACAATAAGATTTCATCTTTCCTGCTAATCTGGAATACTTGGGATCCTGGAACACTGTCAGGAGAAAGCTTATGAACTACATTCAGGATTTTTTTGTCCACCTCGGGTACAAACACAGAAGTAGCCTAAGTTTGTCAATAAGGTGTCTTTCCTTACCTTTGGTTTTTAAATTGAGCAACATATATACCACTTATGGTAACTTATATTAGAGTCTGTAAACAAGTCAAAATAACACCTGGCATTTTGCCAGGGGAATGTTAGAGTTTGTAAACAAGTCTGGATGGTGCCTGGCAAAATGCCAGAGGGAGTGGTTTGAGAAGTAACAAAAGCGAGCCATTAAGTGTGGAGATTCCTTATTGGTTGACTGATGTATCTAGTTTATGCTAATTAGATAAGCTGTGTGGAATGTATAAATACTGCTCCTGTCCTGCAATAAACGGCTCCTACTCCTGCTGTATCAACGTACACAAGTTATTCGTATTATTTTTAGTGATCTGTTTTTAGTGAGAAAAAATAATAGGTGAATGTTTAATTTTATAAAATGTTTTAAACTTCATTATGAATGTACAGAAAAGTCATTGCAAAAGTTACTTTTACTAAATGTATTTAAGCTGAACAAAATTACTTACATAACTGGTGTAATATTAGAAATGTATTCATTAAAGTATTTTCTAGAACTAGATTGTCATTTTGAGGACTGCCCTGGATTTCACATGATCAGTGTTCAAAAGCAGCTGTCTTATAAAAAAGACATTGATACAGTGTATACTGAATAATAATGTGTACTATACTATTGCACTCCTGCCTGATAAACTCTGGTGTGTTGCTATTTGTGGTTGGTTATTGACAATTATTGTGACCTGTGTTTTCATACTCCAAAGAATGTATTAGAGAATACTCTTGAGTGCTTGTACATGTTTGTACATGCACACAATACAATTGTCCAAGTATCCTATTTTTAGGACAATCTGTAGTTTCATTCTTAATTAAATTAAAGGATATTATAAGCTCAAGATTATGAAATAGCCACAGAATTGAAACTTGGTATATTATTTCCTTGAAAACCAAATTTTGGAAGGGGAAAGAGCTGTGTAATTTTTCGAACATAGGAGTGACAAGAAATGTGAGTTTATTCAAGGTGAGTTCATTTAGGGAACATAATCGATTGACCAATGAATATCAACAAGTAGACCAGCAGTGATAGATGGGGACTTGGTACCATTAGAAATGAATGGAACCTATAAAAGGTAGAAATTTTGCAGGATAGGATGATGGTAAGCCTTTTAAATCTAGTTTTAATTGGGAATAGGATATGAAGGGTAACTAGCTATGTGTCTTTTAGAAAGGGGAGGCTCCCTAGGTTATTTCTAATCACTTGAGGCCTGATTATTTTGAATTCAGGTCAGAAGTGGACCTACAGCCTACATTGAAGCCCTTCACTACTTACTACAATGTATTGTTTTATTTTAAAATTATTCCATCAGAATCAGGAAACTAAAAAATGCCTTGTTTCTAGAAGAACATAAACAATTGTATAATACTTTATCACAATGGTTGATCTGAATGACTTGTTAGGATCATATAAAAGTTAGTACAATTACTATTTTTATTATGATGATTAAGCACTCATTTCTAACCTTACTGCAACCATATTTATTATTGACATTTATCAATGGGATTATATAAAAATTCATGTATTATAATTTTTAGTAGTAAGTGTGTGTATTCTAATTGGTAGTAAAAAGGGCATTGTGACTGTTTATTTCTAGAAAAATAATTTTGTAGTAGATTGTGAAATGTTTTGGTTACAAACTGAATACAGAATTAAGCAGGAGCAATATACCCCTCTAATAGTTAAAGAATGTTAAATTGCCACATTTCTGTCATAATTTTTCTGAGAAGTCAAATGTTACATTTTAAGTAGAGCTAAACTCCACAATTTTTCTATTCCCCTTCCCAGAGATAATAAAGGCCCTACACTGATCCTGAATTTGTTGTATATACATTCTATACATGTTTTATACCGTTTTTTTTTAAACCTAACTATATTAGTAACAATTATTATTTTTTAGTTTTTCATGTAGTTTTTCCATTGCACCACTGTTGGTTGATGGTCATGTTGATACATGTAGCAATTTAAATTTCCAAATAGTATTTCATTAAATTCCTTTACTATTTGTATGTACCTGTACTAGTATTTATTCCTACCTCCTACACCATGTTGACTCCAGGTCTTCAGCATGCTAGGCAAGCACTCTACTACTGAGCTACGCTCTGTTCCCTGTAATAGTACTCATACTTATTTTTTGTTTTTATGTGATTTCTCCATTTAATATTGTGTTCTGAGATTTAGTCTTGTTGAGATGTAGAGCTATAGATTTGTGTTTATTACTATAGGAGAAATTTTTAGAGGAATAAATTAGTTTAAGTGCTTTAACAGTTAGGTTGCAATTAATTTTGGATTTATTACAAATTCTGCAATGAACCTATTTCCATATGCAGATGTAAAAGTTAAATTCTCAGAAGCACAATTTCATAATGGTTAGGTATGTAGATTGTCCACCTAGCCAGATATTTCCAAATTATTCTTTCAAAAGTAGTCATACCACTTAGGAGCAGTGTACAAATTGCTGTTTTACATATCTTGTTATCCCCTGATTTTATCAGACTTTGAGTTTTTCCAGTCTAGATTTAAAACAGCATCTCAATATTTTATTTAATATTTTAACCAAATTTTAATAAGATTTGGCATATGTTGTATTTATTGATCATTTGGGTTTCTCTCCTGTGAATTAAGATCGTCTCTTTTTTAATTCCAGCATATTTCTGGAGTTCTGTTATATGTTTTGATTATTTAATCTTTAGTTATGTCTGTTTACAGATATCCTCTACCAATCAGTACCTTGCCTTTTAACTTTGTTAATTAGATATTTTTGAAAATTAAGTCATGTTTTGTTTCTTATTTAAGAAATTCTTTCCTGTTCTAAGTCCCAAAGATACTCTTTGTGTTTTAAGTGTGTATGTACAAATATAGCAATTTGAAAATTTTAAATTATGGAATTATATCATGAAGAAAGAAACTTTTACTTTCCCCATATAAAGAACTAGACATTTTGAATAGCTCAATCTAATTCATTAGAATCTCACTTGATTTGAATGCCATAGCTTTATATATCCAGTTTTAAGTTTTGAGGCTCTGTATTCTGTTCCATTGGTCTTTTGTCCATCTTATATTGCCTTAGTTACCGTAATTTTATAATGAGTTTTGATACCTGATAATTCAAATTTATATCATGCTTTACTTTTCAGAATATCTTTGCTAATGGTTCTTTTTTCTGTGTGAACTTTTAGATGTTTCTCAACTTCTATGAAGAACCCTGCAGAGAATTTCATTGGGATGTCTTTGAATTTACAGATTTATATGAAAATTGCCTTATTAAAACATTTATCTTGCCATTTGTATACATCTTTATATCTTTCAGACTTATTTATCTGTAAAGATTTTTTCCCTCTAGTATTAGCTTTTGTTGATGAGTTTAGTTATGAGTAGTGCTTTTACAGAAAATATTTTTCTATGACTGGAATTTTTAATACAAATTATTTTTCATATATGTCTTATTTTAAAGTAGAAAAATTAAGGCAATTTCAGAGGATTTTTTTTAGGGGGGATGCACAGGATCATGGTACTTAATCTATATGAAGTGTTTTATTCCACAAGGGTCCTTCCTGTAGGTTCTGTGTGTGTGTCCATCTTTACTTTTTGTTGATAACAAGTTAGTCTATGTAAGTGCCTTCATCTGATTTGGTATAGATACTGTCTACTCTTGGATTTCACTCAGTTTATTTCCTTTTAGGAGACGCAGGTCAGAATGGAGATGGGCTGCAGACCGAGCAGCTATTGTGAGCCGCTGGAACTGGCTTCAAGCTCATGTTTCTGACTTGGAATATCGAATTCGTCAGCAAACCGATATTTACAAACAGATTCGTGCTAATAAGGTAAGGGATCAATATCCGGTGTTTTCAGCCCAATTAAAAACTACCATTTTCCCTTTTTTTCTCATCCTCTCCTATCCTTTCAGTAATTCTTCACTATGTCAAGATAAAAGGTTTAATGATCTGATATTATGAGCTGATGTTGGATAGTATACTGTAGTAAACAAGGCTAGAATATAATGTTTAATTGACGTGTGTTTAGAGAAGAACAGCATGGGTGTCTGAGTTAACACAAAACCCATCCCAAATAAAAGACTATATAATTAATGTAAACCATTAGCTGTCAGATTCATTATGTATTCATGTCTAGTGAGGATTTTTACTATCTTGCTCTTTTGATTAGCTGTTTCCTGTTTTATTACGAATCCTCTCTTGCTTGCTTGAGAAAAAATAGGGTTGGCCTAAACAATTGTTGAGGTAAATACATTGATGATGAGGAGTTTTATTTTGCTTTATTCCCCTGTCTGTGAGGGACTAATAAGCTACCTTACAGCTTTTATTTTTTATACTGACATTACATAATTTTTCGTCTTGAAAAATCAACATAGGAGAAAGCTTTTTGCTCCAGTTTCAATTTGAGTTCAAAAGAAATTTGCACAGAAAAAAAAATCCATTCAACAAATATTGAGTGCTTACTGTGTAGCACCACTTTTCTCTGTGGAATGGTCACAGTGGTGAACAAAAATTTTACCTTCATGGAGCTTTACATTCTTGCACAGTGTCTTTTGTTCTTAATATTTTATGAGCTTCATAACTGACAGATGGGTCTAAATAAAGTCTACTCCTAAAAATGTGTTAAGTATCTTTTTATCCTTAATGCTTGTCACGGCCTTAAGAAAACTGCTTACTGTAAACAGTATGTGTTAGATTAATTAATAGGTCTAAAGTTAAAGGGTGATCAAATGACAAGATAAACAAAGTGATGAAAGTTTGATGTAAAAGTTCTGTAGCTTCTTCTATCTACTCTTTTAAACATTTATGTTAAAAATTCCACTAGACATTTCTCCTCTTTTAAAAAAAAAAAAGTTCACTGGATAGTTCTAGGTTTTCCCCTTACATTGGATTTATGTATAAATCTCCAGTAATCCATCTGAGCATATTATAATTGACATAGTCCAAAGGATTCACTTTTTAATAATTTGTTCCCTTAGGGTAGAGAACAGATTAAATCATGACTAATTTTAACAAATTAGCTAGAAGATCTGTGGGTGTGGTGGTGTATACGTGTAATACCAGTGTCTTGGGAGGCTAAGGCAGGAGGATTGGATGTTTGAGGCCAGCCTCAGCACTTGATGAAGACCTAAGCAACTTAACAAGACCCTGTCTCAAAGTAGAAAAGGATTAGGATATATGTAGCCCAATGGAAAGTGCCTCTAAGTTCAATCCCTGGTACTCCCCTATCTCCCACCCCCAGCCAAAAAACAAATTAGCTAGAACAAAACTAAGAAATATTCTAGAGATTCTAGGGGTGGTGATTATTTTGCTTTTCTTACTTCATCTTCACAAAAAGAAATTTTAAAGCCTGATTTATAGAGAGTGAACTGGAATGGTGACTAAGAATAGCCAGGAGATGACTGGATATTACCTATCCTGAGGGGAAAAAAAAAACAGTCTTTCTGTGTCAGGGACGCCTCTTCAGTGTCTGTTTCTAAGTTATTTTAACCAGTAGTTAGGTGGGAGTTTCTATATATGAAAACTAGAGTCTCTTGGTTAGTACAACAGTCATATTTGTTGCTTCATCTGTTTTATATACATTCATACATAGATATGTGCTTTTATATATGTGTATATGTTTTGTTATATTAGTTTTGCATTATGAAACTACCATAGTGCTAGGCCCATTGATGCAGACCTGTAATCCCTGCTACTCAGGAGGCTAAGACCAGTGGTTTGCAAATTTGAAGCCAGCCTGAGAACTAAGTGAGACCCTGTCTCAAAATAAAAAAGAGCCCTTGGGATATAGCTCAGTGAAAGAGCACTTGACTAACCTGTGTATCAATTCAATTAATAGGATAAACTTGGAAATTACATAGAAGTATGGGGGATCATTCCCTAATAAACTCAACTTGGTACAAAATATTTGTTTTAAATTTTTATTAGTTATTGATGGACCTTTATTCATTAATTTGTTCATATGTGGTGCTGAGAATCGAACCCAGTGGTCCATACATGCTAGGCAAGCATGCTACCACTGAGCCACAACCCCAGCCAAAAACATTTTTTTACATATATTTTCTTCCATCATTTTTCTCAGTGTCACATAACTACTTTGTTTAAAGAATTTTGTTACAGTGTATCCTGAATATTTACTATCACTTTTTGGAAAATTTTGTTGTTATTAACTATGTTCTTCTAACTTTTCTTGTTGATTATTTAAATTATGTGTTTTTTGTTTTTTTTTTTAATTATAAGGCATGCCATGATAAACATCTTTACTTCAGTCAAAGACATAAAAACTTTTATGTTTTTGCTGCACGCTGTAGAGAAAAGTGTCTTGGCAGTCCCTTTCAGTTTACAGATTTGGTAACTACGTATGAAAAGATAATCTCACTTTTGGCTCTTGCTTTATTCTTTGTCTCATCACTTAGTAGTAATGTCAGAGCAATTTGGGGAAACTTTTTAAAAACCTGAAGATATTTCTCAATATATGGAAAATATTCTAGAACTTTATGTATATACTGATAACTCAGGAGTCTTGATATTCAGGGCATAATATATTAAAGAAACACCAGATTTACTAATATTTCATTTTAATTCTGACTTTTGTTACCAGTTATATAATCTTGGTCATATAAAGTCACTTATCATTTATGAGCCTCAGTTTCTTGGTCTATAAAATATGTCATTCTAGATAATCTTTTATAAAACATTTTTTCTGCAGTTTAAATACAGTATCAATTACAAACTTCTGACAATAAAATTAGAATGAGAATCCCAGTAATATGTCAAAAAAAAAAAACCCTCAAAACTTTTCAGATCATTCTGTCATTTAAATGTTAGTGATTTAACGATTTGTTCATATCATTAAGTCATTTGTTTTTTCATCTAGATCTGTTAAGTTTCCTAAGCTGCCATACAAAGTATCACAAACTGGGTGACTTAAAACAACAGAAATTTATTCTCTCTTAGTTCTTGGGGTCAGAAGTCTAAAGCCAGGGTGTTTTCAGGGTCATGCTCCTTCTGAAGGTTCTGAGGAAGAATCTTGCTTCTTCCAAAGTTCTGGTGGTGGCTGGCAATCCTTGATGTGCTTTGGGGGAGGCTGTGTCATTCTAGTTGTTTGTTGCCTTTGCCTCCACGTGAGCATTGTTTCATTGAATATCTGTGTCCAAATTTCCTTGTTAAAAATGCACCAGTTGGGGGCTGAGGCTGTAGCTCAGTGGTAAAGCGATCCTCTCACATGCGTGAGGCACTGAGTTCAATCCTCAGCACCACATAAAACAATAAATAAATATACTGCGTTCATCTACAACAAAAAATATACATAAAAATATTTTTTTAAAAAATGCACCAGTTGCAGTGTGTTTAGGGCCACTGTAAAGGGCTCATCATAACTTGATTACATCCACAAAGACCTTGCTTCCAAATAATATCACATTGTTAGTTCTTAGCGGACATAAATTTTGAGGGAATACTTCAACCCAGCCTAATAAATAAGCAGTGGAATTTCCTCAGTGATATATTACCATGCATTTGGATTTTACCTAGACTATTCTATTATTTTACTAATAGAAACCTTTGAGCACCTGTACTGTGTGCCAAAAACTATGCTATAGGCATTGTACTGTTATCCACAGTTTTAAAGATAAACAAATGAAGGTTTAGAGGTTACGTAGTTTCTGCATGGTCCAAAGTGTATCATCCAAGTGAATCCAAAACCAAGGTTTGAGTATCTGGTCTCCAGAGTTTTGCTCAAGTTGGTGGTCACTTTTAAGTGCTTTGTTACTTTTCGGGTTATTGAAATCCAAGGGATTTTTTCTCTGTGCATTAGTAGAGTGGATAGTGTTCCCATTCTGCTTCTAGGTTTACGTCATTTGCCTATGTTGTTCATGAGACAATTCTGGGTTTGATAATCAGATGTTCAGTTATAACCTTGTCTTATGGATGGAAGATTGGAGAGATGGTGGGGCTTTTACTTTTTAAGGCTTTACTGTATTAATTTTCTTAAACTGAAGATATTTGGGGAAGTATTTGTGAACCACTGCTAGGTGATTCTAATTTCCACACATCATGTTCTTTGCTATCAGAAGTTAATATCAAAAGATAATACCCAGCTGGCCATGGTGGCACATAACTGTAATCCCAGTGGCTCAGGAGGCTAAGAGAAGAGGCTCAGCAACTTAGCGAGACCCTATCTCAAAATAAAAGGACTGAGGATGTGGTTCAGTGGTTAAATGCTCCCAGGTTAAATCCCTGTTCAAAAAAAAAATCTTCATGACAGAGAAAGGAAAATAATGTGTGTATGTATTGAATAAGTTCATCTTTCCAATATTCTTCTGCATCTACATCTAATGCATTAAAATTTAGCTTTATTATTTTTCATCTCTTCTTCTGACTGATCTGAGAAATTCCTCAGCAGTTGCTAAGGACGGAAATGTTATTGAGGATAAGAGGTGGAAAAGCATTGAAAACACCAGATAGAAAAATGCTGATTAGCAGGAGCTTATCCTTTGTCTTCAAATTTATATATATATATATATGTATGTATTTATTTATTCATGTATTTATTTATTTATGTATGTATTTATATATATGTATGTATGTATTTATTCATTTATTTTCGTTGCAGGTGGGCAAATAGCTTTATTTCATTTTTATGCAGTGCTAAGGTTTGAACCCAGTGCCTCTCATGTGCTAGGCAAGTGCTCTACCTCCAAGCCCCAGCCCCAGCCCCAGCCCCTGTCTGTAAATTTTATAGAGTTAAGGTTCCCATCTTAACCAAGTTATAGCTGTGTCTTCTTCAGGTAGCTCAAGGACGTTCTTAAGAAACTCATCTGCAGTTACTGTTTTGTTTGTTTTAAAGAGTGTGTCTGCATTTGTGACCTTACCAATTCCATTGGTCCTTGTATAAAGCGGAAGCTTACCTTGTGAGAGTTCTGTAGGGCTGGGCAGGCCACATGATCCTGTTTCTGGCTCAAAGGGCTGGAGTGAAGAATAGAGTGACACTCTTGGCCTTTAATTTTGTCCTTTATCAGTTGCTATCTCTTTCAGAGTACATTAACCCTAAGGCTTTTGGCGCTCAAACTGATGGCCATAGCCATTTCTCAATGACCCAGTTGAAACACAGAATGCTATGGAATTCCATTTTTGGGTTGACTTGACACGATAGAGTGGAAGAGTTTTCTTAGCTGATAATAATCTTTCTTTTCATGGCTGTTAAACATGAATAAACTTTTTCCCAAATAATTTAATGGTGGAATATAACTACTTGCATACAAAAAAGGACATAAAATATTAACTGTACAGTTTAATGATGTATTTGAATATTTTAGGGAATTTCAAGTAATCATGTAAATCTCCTTAAAGCCTCACTTCCATCAGCCTCGTTAGCTAGGTTCTACCTCTTTTCTCTTTTAGGTCACCTTCTCTAAACTTCTATTATAGTGCTGCTATAGTAATGCTTTGCCTACTTGTTTATCCAAGGCTAGATAAAGTAAGTTCCTTATGGTAGAATCTGTTTTTTAATTTTCTTGAAAGAGGCTAGAAACCTTGTCAGGTTCTCTGACTTCCTTCCCAACCTACAACCCTATTTGCATATATGGTTGATTCTGTCTTCAAATATATATCCAGTGTCCAGCCATTTTGTTCCAAGCAACTGTTTTTTCTGCTTTTGTTTGTCCTCCACTGTCTGTGTTAGCACAGTAGTTAGATTGATCATTTACAACTCAATCATTCTTCAAATCATCAAGTTTACCCCCATCTTAGCTTTTGCATTGACTTTTCTCTAGATACCTGTAAAGTTTGTTTTCATGTTTTTGTCAAATATTTAGTCAAATATCACCTTCCTGGTGTGGTTTACTCTCCTGCCTAATAGGAAATAGTATTCACTTCCACTTCTTAACCTTCTCTAGGTCCTTCTCTTTTCCCTTTGACACCATTCATATTGTTTGTTCTTACCCCAGTATTAGAATAATGTAAGGAATTTGAGGGATGGGTTAGGAGAGATTGAGGGGAGAGGTCTCATTCTCTTCTGCATCCCCAGCACCTAAAAAATGTTTATGAATGGAACAGTGGTTAACTTAAATAAATATAAGAAAATGTGGACAAATCATATATGTCAAACTTAGAAAACTTGTGCACAGCAAAGGAAACAACAGTGAAGAGACAACCTATAGTATGTGGAGAAAATATTGGCAAACTGTTCATTTAACAGGAGAGCAATATCCAGAGTATATAAGGGATTCAAGCAACGGCCCCATCCCAGGAAAAAAAAATCCAGTTAAGAAATGGACAAAATGGATAGGCATTTCTCAAAAGAACATAAACAAAAGGCCAACAACTTGTATCATCACAATACAGAATGACTCTTATGAAAAAGACAAAAACTTGCTGGGGGCAGTGGTGCATGCCTGTGACCCCAGTGGCTCAGGAGTCCGAGGCAGGAGGATCATAAGTTTAGAGCCAGCTTCAGCTATTTGGCCAGGCCCTAAGCAACTTAGACCCTTTCCTGAAATAAAAAGGAGTGGGAATTGTTGCTCAGTTAAGTACCCCCAGGTTCAATCACTGGTACCCTATCAAAATAAAACAAAAATAATAATACTGGCAAGAATACAGAGATAGGGGAACTCTAATACACTGTTTGGTGGGAATGTAAATTGATACAGGTTTTATGGAAAACAGTATGGAGGTTTCTCTGAAAACTAAAAGTTAGAACTGCCATATGACCTGGTAATCCCACTTTTCCCTCCCCTATATTTTATTTTCCCAACCTCTGTAAATTTGAGGGGACAGCAATATTACTGAAGTTGTGGCCCATAATATTGTATTACTCATACATCCTGCACTCTACTGGGGATTGAACCCATGAGTGCTGTATCATTGAGCTACACTCTCAGCCCCCTTTTAATTTTATTTGAGACAGGTTTCCCTAAGTTCTCTGAGCTGGCCTTAAACCTGTCTATGATAAATATTTCATCTTTTTACATCTCTTCTTTCAAAAAATTTTTGAATTAAAAAAGATCCCAGAGGATGCCAGGGATATATATATAGCTCAGTTGGTAGAGTGCTTGCCTTGCATGCACAAGGCCCTGGGTTCAATCCCCAGCACCACCCAAAAAAAAAAAAAGATCCTAGGGATGGATCAGTCTGGTTCAGTCACTCATAAGAACCTACATTTCAGTGTCCTAGTGAACTCAAACTAGTATAGTCAAAATTTTTAGGACTTTTAAAAAAGCAAATCTATATTTTAGGCTCTTCTCTGATGTATTCTGTTGGAGAACCATGACTGATCAGATCTAAAAGTCTAGTATGTATTTTTGCACATTACTGCGGATCGAATGAATCTGGCACATGCTAGGCAAATGCTCTACCACTGAGCTACATCACCATCCCTTTTTAAATTTTATTTTGAGGCAGGTTCTTGCTAAGTTGCTATGCTGACCTTGAACTTAAAATCCTATTTGAGACCCAAATGCATGGGATTACAGGAATGTGCCACCCCACCTTGCTGGAAAGAGATTTCATGTGGAATATTTAATCCTATCCTGAGATAATAAATAGATTTGATGATGGACCTGCCATATGTGTTTGATATATTCCCCAGCTGATTCTAATAAGAGCTGCTTTTTTTTTTTTTCCTTTTGGTGGGGCACTGGGGATTGAACTAGGGTTGCTTAACCACTTAGCCACATCCCCAGCCCTTCTTTATTTTGAGATAGGATGTGCTAAGTTGTTTAGGGCCTCACTAAATTGCTGAGGCAGGCTTTCAACTCCCTATCTGCCTGCCTCAGCCTCCTGAGCTGCTGGGATTACAAGTGTGTGCCACCATGCCCATCTTTAATTAAAGAGCTTCTTAATCTGGTTTGATCTGTTCATTATTACTTGGGATGAATGTAAGATCTGAATTTGAAATTGTCAAGCGGGAACTTAATCTGAAGTATTATATATGCTGGGTGCCAGTGGGGCATTAAAAAAAAAGTTTTTGATTTCTGATTGCAGGGACTCTTCCATTTTTGTTTCACTCCATTATTCTGCAATACAGTTGTTTGAGCTCATAGTTGACAGTAGTAGTACATTTAATGTGGTAATCCTTTAGCCACATTTGTGATCAAGTTAACTAGAAACACTGCATTGCTTATGTGGATCCAGTCCAGTCCAGTTGGTAATATATATAAAATACTAAAAAATGCCAGGCTCTGAATCAAAGGTGAACTGACATGTCAAGTAAATCAGAACATTGAGGTGGAATAGTGAGGAAGCCTTTGCTGCCTTGCTGAATACCCTGCTACTACTAGGCTTTTTGTTCATCCATTAAGAAGCAAATTTTCAGGGACTGGGGATGTGGCTCAAGCAGTAGCACGCTTGCCTGGCATGCGTGCGGCCCGGGTTCAATCCTCAGCACCACATACAAACAAAGATGTTGTGTCCGCCAAATACTAAAAAAATATATTAAAATTCTCTCTCTCTCTCCCTCTGTCTTTAAAAAAAAAAAAAAGCAAATTTTCAGTTCAGCAAGTATTTAAAGTAGATTGGAAATCTATATAGAGCTTATTTTTTTTTTATCAAAACTTTGGAAACATATTTCAACGTTACTATTAGTAGCATATTCTTTGCTTTATTGATCAGTTGTTTTTTTTACAGTGCTAGGGATTAAACCCAGGGGCACTTTACTACTGAGCCACATCCATAATACTTGTATTTACTTTTCAGGCAGAGTCTCACTAAGTTGTGAAAGCTAGCCTTGAATTTGCCCATCCTCCTGCTTCAGCCTCCCTGTTACTGGGAATATGGGCATGTACCACCATGCCTGTCTCAAAGTTCTTTAGGTATTCCATAAATGATACAATGGGACATAATGCTCTTTTGGAGCAAGGCAATTTACATACCTGTAATCCCAGTGGCTTCAGAGGCTGAGACAGAAGAATCACAAATTATGAGACCCTGTATCAGATTACAAATAAAAGACCTGGGGCTATAGCTTATTGGCAGAGTGCTCTGCTAATGTAGTTTGTTTCTGAACAATAGAATAAGAGAAAAGGCTTTTGGTAAATCAGACTTCTGCTTCTACCCTTTTGAGATTAGCTCCTAAATTTGTCATTTATTTCAGTCACTTAGTGTTGTTTATCTCCTCTCTGTCCCACAGGGGTTGATAGTTCTTGGGGAGGCACCTCCACCAGAACATACAGCAGACTTACTGCTTCCATTTAGTTCTGAGGTGAAGACAGATCATGGGACTGATAAATTGGTAAGTATAAAATAAAGGAAAGGGGAAACGAGTGAGAATTGAGGGTATAACTTCAGCACACAGTTTATTCTCTATAAATAGAAAGTTCCCATTGGCTAAAAGAAGGAAACTATCCCCTTTTATCACTTTGGGCATTTTGAGATCTGAATTCCTAAATCGGGCAACATAGGAACCCTCTTGCTGTGTAGCTGACCTTAGAATTTAAAGGTGTTTCCTATCCCTCAAGAAACCACAGCCAGAGCAAATATGAAATTTTGGAATGTTGTTTGGAATCTGTAGACCTGGCTATACCCTGACCCTTTGAGAGGTAAAATAAAACTTTTTTGGCTTACTATAATATATATAACCTTTTCATTAAAAGGTTGGACTAGAGGTTAAACTCTGAAAAATGTTGAAAATACTGTCTATGGGTGATTCTTATTTTATAATGAGGATAAAACTATCTTCCATAATCTTCCATATCCTTAGACCCTAGATCAAATCTCCCTCTTCTATTCTTTCCCTTTCCCTAACATAATTTCTTTCTTTCTGAATTCTAGGAGTGCTCATTTATTTATTATACTTTTTAAGTTTCCCTAAAAGCTAGCTGGCTTTTATGAATATTAGCATTTCTTCATGTCAGCTCAACAACTGAGTTTGCAATTCCAGTAATTATTCATTTTGATTATGCTTCCTGGTAGTAAGCAGTATTAACTCTTTAAATCGGGGGTTACTCATTAAAGCATGTTACCTTTTATATTTATCATTGTTAACAGGAACTCATATAAAATATAATGAAAATTAACTTTCTTCTGAGAAAGATCATAGAGATGTTTGGGTTTTGAAAAGGTCTTTTACTCAGTTTTGAATGCCAGCTGCTGTTGCTATGGATAAATATAACAACATTAAGAGATCAAGAGTTCTTAACTAGAGGGTAGTTTTGAATAAAGAACAGAGTGCCAAATTACGCCACTGTTCAGATCTGTAATGTGAGTTAATTATATGCTATCAATAGAATTTTTTAAGTGACTTATGAAACTTTAATTATTCCAGCCAAGGGAAATATTGCTCATGAGAGAAGAATCATGGGTAAATTGAGAGGTCAGCTGATGATAATAAAGAGGCAAAGAAAACTCGAGGCATATTTGATTGGGAATAAGTTCTCTATAAACATTTATATAAATGTATCATATGTCTTCAACAAAATGCAAATCAGTTTTTACAAGAAAATCTACAATAAACATCTAACTTAAATTATCTGGGCCCCTAATCAGTTATAAATAGTAGATAAAACAAAATGTGGGCTTGTTGAATAATGTTCCATTGTTAATACCGAAAGAACATATAGCCAGTCTTTTTTCCTTATTTCCAAACTGAATGATCATTTTTTGGCAGAATCAATACCTATATATGTGGGTCTTGAAGACAGTACAGATATTACTGAAATTTAAGTTGTTCTAAAGGGCCCCAGCCTGTGACATTTAGAGACTAAAGGTGAGCCTCTTTTGAGCCATGGAGCAAAGCAAGAAATTCTCCTTGAGATAGGAGATGGCTTTGTGTTGGGAGAAGAAAATAAGATCCAATGAGGAACTCCTATAAAGTTCCTCTTCCCCCTTCTGGGGATTTGCACAATCTTACCACTCAAGACAGTTGGAAAGGTAAGGCTTGTTGAAGAGAGACAGTGAAGGCCTATGGCTTTGTAGCTGCCAATAAAGTCTTCTGTGTTCAAATAAATAGCTGATGTGAAGTAAAGCTGTTTTTGTACAAAGAAGGTGAGCCCCTGGAAAGAAAAAAGCTGTTGAGAGTTGTTCTCCTGTGTTGAGAAGCATGCCCTTTATCTTTCCCTCCTCCCTCTTCATTCCCTTGAATAGCAAACCATTTTCACCCATGTAAGAAAAAGTAGTGAAGGACCAGAGAATAACTAACTTGAAACTTATTTAAGTGAAGAAAGTAGTTTAAAATTATTCAAGAAAGTCATCAAGATTTCAGACAAAAAGTATTTTCAGGAAGAAGTGAGGGCTTTTTGGTCCATGTATCACAGGGTTTCTAGCATTCCACCAGAGAGCCATAGTATCCTTGGCTTGTATATTGTTGGAGGCTGGAATTCAGAGCTGGCCAATAGGTAGAATTTAAGGGAGGGAGTAGCGAAGAGGGAGCTACATGGGATGGAGCAGGACTTAAGCCCACAATCTGTATATATCCCTTCAAATCTTGATCTGACCTTGAGCTGTCCATGTTCAGGTCAGATTTTTACATGGTCTAGTAGAAAGTAACAATTGGAAGACTGAAAAGAATTGAACAGAGATGGTTGTCGTTACTGTGGGGAACGCAGAATTTGGAGTTTGGATCTCACATTGGACTTCGCATTGAAAGCATGGGGTGCTTACACTTTTGAGTTAAAAGAATGTTTTGCCAGACTAAGTAATTAACTATAGGATTAAGGAGAAAACCAAAATATTTAAGTAGGCTTCCGTATGTTTCTTTGAATGCAGAATTACCAGTTCCACAAAATCAAGATGACCACTTAGAAAAACCTTAGCATCCTTCAGGGAAAGTGAATTGAAACCAGAGTCTCTATAGTGACATATACAATAAAAATTATTATACCTAGGAATAACCAGTAAAAATGATCCTTAGTTATGAAGGAAAAAAGAGAAAATGGGACTGACAAAGTTTAAGAAGAATATCACTTTGTTTAAATGAAGAAAAGTCAATTTACAGATAGAGTAAAAAAATTCTTTGGAGACTAGTATACATGAGAACTACTTTGTAGTCAGATGTGACAATCAAAAGTGAAGACCGTCTTAAAAGTAGCCATAGGGAAAAGGTGAATTCCACACAATAAAGCATTGATCCTCAAGATAGATGAGGCCAAAAATAATGGAATTATATAAATTGCTCAGAGAGGGAGGCTCAATCACAGCATAAATAAAATGTTCAGATTCCTTAAGAGATTACCAAAACTGCAGAAGTGCAGCCATCCCTTGGTATTCCCAGGGTATTGATACCATTATCACCCCCACATATGCCAAAATTGTGGCATGCCCAAATCCCTTCTGTAAAGTGGCATATAGTATTTCTACACATGTCCTCCTATATACTTCAAATCTCGAGATATTAAGTAACCTCTAGATTATGTTTAACACCTGTTGAGAGTTCTCCAGTGTTAAGAAGCATGCCCTTCTTGTAATACAATGTAAAGAATTGTTAGATTGTACTGTTTAGATAATAATGACCAAAAGAAAGTCTGTATATATTCAGTATGGACATGTTTTTTTTCTGAATACTGTTTTATACTGACATACAGTGCACAGAGTTCTGATTTTGCCATTCTCAACCAACACTTTTGTTTTCTGTTTGTTTTTTGGTTGTAGTCATCCTAATGGTTATGAGATGGTATCTCAAAGAGTAAAAATACTGAACATATTTTCATGTGGTTATTCCCCATTTATATGTCTTTTCTGGCAAAATGTCTGTTCAAATCCTTTTCTTATTTAAAAAAAATTTTTAAAGTTATTGATGGACCTTTGTTTTATGTATGTATGTGGTGCTGAGAATTGAACCCGATGCCTCACACATGCTAGGCAAGTAATGAACTACAGCCCTAGCCCCCATTTCTCATTTTTGAAGTGGTTTGTTTGTGAAATTCTTCATTGTTTCAAGAGTTCTACAAGTTTTGGATTTCATTCCCTATTCAGATGTGTGATTTGCAAATGTTTTCTCTCAATCTCTGGGTTGCCTTTTTACTCTGTGAATAGTGTTGTTGTTATTGTTTTTTGTTTTGATGCACAAAGTTTTTAAATTTTTCATGAAATTCAATTTGTCCTTTTTTTTTTTTTTTTTTTTTTTTTAATCTTTGGTTGTCATATCAAGAAATCATTGCCAGGTCTAGGGTTGTAGCTCTGTGGTAGCGTGCTTGCCTACCACGTATGAGGCCCTGCGTTTGATCCTCAACACCACATAAAGATAAATAAATAATATAAAGGTATTATGTTCATCTACAACTAAAAAAAAAATAAAATAAAATTAATCATTGCCAAATTCAGAGTTTTAAAGGTTTTTTATTTTTTTTTTGTAGTTGTTCTGAGAGATTTATAGTTTTAGGTGTTAACTTTTAAGTCTTTGATCCATTTTTTAAATATTTTTTTAGTTGTAGAAGGACACAACATCTTTTTAGTTATTTTTATGTGGTGCTGAGGATCGAACCCGGTGCCTCACATATGTGAGGTAAGTGCTCTACCACTGAGCCACAACCCCAGCCCCTTTTGATCCATTTTGAGTTAATTTTTACTCTTAATTTTAGAGAAGAATCACCTTCATTTTTGGATATCCAGTTTTCCCAACATCATATGGGCAGGTATGTGTCATCACATAAATTCAGTAGTGTCATCTAAGAAGCCATACGGTCCAGGGCTTTTCTTTGCTTGCTAGATTTTTTTTTATTACTGATTCAATCTCCTCACTAGTTTTAGCTTTATTCAGATATTCTATTTCTTTACGAGGTAGACTTGATAGATTTTATATTTCTAGGAATTTGTCCATTTCATCAATCTGTTGGTGTGTAATTGTTCATATAGTCTCATAATCTTTTTAGTTTCTGTAGAATCAGTAGTAATATCCCCATTTTTATTTATGACTTTTTAAAAATTTTATTTTAGTTGTAGATGGACACAGTACCTTTATTTTTAATTTATTTATTTTTATGTGGTGTTGAGGATTGAACCCAGGGCTTCACAACGCGAGGCAAGTGCTGTATCACTGAGTCACAATCCCAGCCCCTTATGACTTTTTTTTTTCAGTCTTCTATTTTTCTTAGTCCTTCTAGATAAAGCCTTTATCAAATGGTCACCTTTAGGTTTCACGGTTTGTTTTTTCTCAGTCATCTTTATTAGTTTCTTCTGCTGGCTTTGGATTGGGACTTACTTTTCTTATTTTCTATAAAGTTAAGATCTTGGGTTTTTGTTTAAATGTTTTTACATTTTTTAAAGTTGTTGATAGACCTTTATTTAATTTATGTTTAT